ATTTATATTTATATTTATATTATACAATATTAATAAATGGTAAATTAAAAAAAAATCAAAAAAAATTAAAAAATGGGCGCATTTGTACGCATTATCACGCCTTTGTGCGAGTTTTGGTGATCAACGTAGGCGTTGACCGCATTATCACACGCATATACCGAATGCGATGCGTTTGGACCACTGCCTAATAGTAGTACGCGGCGCGTTTTCCCGCATTTTAGAACACTGCCTAATAGTAGTGTGCGTGCTCTGTAGGTCACCCAGTTTCAAATTGAAAACTTACAAGGTTCATCAAGGCATGGCAAGTATGTGATGCTGGAAGCTATCTGTCTCGTAATTGCTTGAATTTCCCTCATTATTTCTTTATCCCTCTTCTCCCTTGAAACTCTGAAAATCAAAATCCAAATCAATAGAAATTCAAACCACAAACATTTCCCCGTCAAAAGAAATTATTCAGAATCAAACACATAGATTAAATTAGATTACACCTCTCTAAAACAATGGCCTTGCTCATGATCACCAATACTACCCTATGCAATTTTCCAGTTTCAAGCCATTCTTCACAAAATTCATACACAATTAATTTAATTAATAATCCATTAAATCCCATTTCAAGAAAGCTCATATAATGTAGAAATAAATAATTATTGAAAGGAGTTGGGAATTACCAGATAGCTGTGCAGTCAATTTTGAAATGAAGAATTTAACACCTTCATCTTGAGTGAGAAGCATGGGAAGCCCACATTTCTTGACCTTTGCTTTTCTTCAGGATAAATTCCACGATTGTACAGAATACTAAAAATATTACCCAATCACCCAATTAAAAATTACCCAATGCCCAATTATTCCGTCAAAATAAAGTTAAAAAGTCGTCGAGATTAGAGGAATCTTGGATTATTTCTTACCTATTTGCAGCATAACCTAGAAAGGGAACCCATAAAATAAATAAAATAGTAAAGATTCTTCAAAATTTCACACTCACTAAAATTATAGAAAAAAATCAAAGAGAGAAGAGGCGTACCAAAGAATTCACTGACAATAGCGGCTGATCCACGGAGAGTGATTATATCTTTCGTGCCATGGTAATTTGAATTTGAATTGTTCACGTATTGACAAACTTGGAATATTGAGAGTGACCATCTACCATGGCTTAAAGAAAGACCGTGGTCCTAGATCTGAATTGCACGTTTGAGAAACTACAGTAATAAAAACGTTTGAATGAGAAAATATGGCAACTTTAATAACAAATTAATTGTATGTAGACATGTTAAGACTTTAGTCAAACTTAAATCGATAGAACCTTGATATATAACGACTCGAGTTAAGGCATTTTGAAAAAATACAAAACAAATAAATTGAGGGAGATTTCATTAATTCTTATAAAAATTTCTTTTTTAAATCACTCCTTAGCCAAGTCACATGAAGCAATCAACTAATTATTGATACTCTTCTGACCTTGATGTGCAAAATGATTCCACCAATTCTCGAAGCCCCCAACTTTGTAACAACTTAGACTGAAAATGCTAGCGATGTACCATGGAGGGATTAAAAAATGAAGCCACCACATTTAAAAACCTAAAATACAATAAGATAGAAAAAGTGACACAGAGAGTTTTCCACTAGAAGATTGTTTCTTTACCTGGCTGGTGCAAGCTAATGGCATGAGTTGGTCATTCCCTAAGTTCTCGAGCTGAAACGAAGTCTAGACAGTTACTTCTGTTACAAAAGGTCAGACAACATCCAAACAAAGCACTCAAACAAGAAACACGAACATATGCTGCAAATTATCAGTCCTTGGCCTCCATCTACACTAGTTCAGGTAGTATGCAGTAAACTTCACCCGGTAAACATTGATATTATTTATTATCCTCCAAAAACTGTGAAAATTCTCCAGTAACTAAACTCAATAGCTTATAATGCCATGCAAAACAATCATATTAAGAATCACAGCCAAACTCTTATAGAAGGCCTCTTTATTTTCTGAACTAAGAACCAAAAAATCACCTTTTGAATGATTTCCTTAATGAACTTTCCATCAGACAGAGATGTTCAATTACTCACAGAAGAAAGACAAATCATAAAAAATCAGCCTCATCATCCTTGGAAGGTTAAAAATAAGGAAAATCACAAGAATCTCACCTCACAAACTAGAATTTAAGAGATCTATTAAGTTCCGCCATTTAATGAAATGCCATCTTCCC